TATGGCTTCCAAAGCTGACATGGACATTCCTAGGTTGGATGACCATCTATTAAGGATGCTGGTGTGCTAAATTTGTGGTTTAGTGGTATACGGAGAAGGTGATCTCAAGTGTGCCTTCCAACCACTGTATTCTATGATTCCATAAATCTGCATGCAATAAGAACAAGCTTGAGGATTTGTCATGATTTCAGAAAATAACTTAAGCCACTTATAAGTTACAAGGGGGAATGATATTTATAATCTGGTCCCTGGATTTGGTGTGTTCTAAGAAGGATCAGACAGTGCCAATTATCAGCTTATGACGAGCAGCTTAATCTTGTTCAGAACCTGTGGCTACCTCTAGCTTTAAAGCCCGTGGACTCCCAAATCTTAAAAACTCATGCAAAGTATTGTGGCAGTGCTTGCTTGTTTTGTGCTACAGGTCTTGAGTATCACAGTATTATGTATGCATGTATGATTAGATATTTTGGCATAAGATCTTACTGAATATCCTTGAAACTGGGTTTCTCAAAACCTCTGCCAAGAAGAGGTGTCACAAACATCAGAAGCATTCTCTTAGGTGTGGTTAATTTTTCCAGCTGCCTTGAAATAATGAGACCCCATCTGGAAAGAGACACACTATATTCCAGAAGTGCTGTTCAAGTAAGAGATACTCCTGGAGCAAAACTCTGTACTATTTCCGAGTGCTCCCTTCAGAGGTGGTATTCAGCAGGTTCTGATCAGTTTTGGAGAACTGGTAGGGGAAATTTTGAGTAGTTCGGAGAACCAGCAAATCCCAACTCTGACTGGCCCCACCCACATCTATTCTTTGCCTCCTGTTGAGTTCCAGCCGATCGGCTGGGTCTTCTTTGGTTGCCCTGCACTGGAGAACGGAGCTGGAAAGCAGGTTAGTGGGAGGGAATGGGAATTTTGCAGTATCCTTCTGCCATGCCCACCAAGCCACGCCCACAGAATCGGTAGTAAAAAAATTTTGAATCCCACCACTGGCTCCCTATTTCCCACCTGCTGGGTGTGAATTCGGCTCCGAAACTCCCATAAGTAAATGGTTCTTTTACCAAGCACAGGAAAATATTATTCAACTGTTGCCTCCTGCATCTTGATTCTGAACTTCACTGCCCAGCCCTGCATTAATGATCTGCTGACATAATAATTTACTGACTGCTTTATGCAGATTGTTTTAATTACTCTAAAATGCAAGCAAAGGTTGGGTTAGTAAGTCAATAAACCAATCAAGCTGCACATGTTAAGCAGGGGCAATATTTGGAGAAAGCAACTGTCTTGTGAATGATCATTTTGCTATTACATTTATCATTTACTGCCACAGATATATTGCAAACAAAATTAAAAGGAGATGTCAATTTGGCAAGAATTATTGGGCTATAATTAAAAGGAAAGCACCCGCTAGCTTCCAATCTTCCCTAAGGACATGTGAGATGGGGAAAACACATGTGGTTGTTAATTTTATCACTAAGTTGATTTTTCTTTTAATAATACTGTGAATGTTTCCATTTTTTTCTTTGCATATCATGTAAACTATTGAGAGTCATGGGATTATGATAGTATATAAATTTTAAAAAAAACCACAATAAACAAATGTAAATGAGCCACAGGGTTAAGGTTGGAGCTGGAGAAAAAATTGAGCATCAGAGTGCATTTAGGTTAAAAATTAATTCGATGCATGGATCTTTAAGACAGATGGAAGATCTTTAGCACCTGCTCTTCAGAATAACAGAACAGGACCATAGAGTTGGAAGGGATTTTGAAGGTGAAGTCCAACACCCTACCTCAAGCAGGAGACCCTATATCATTTCAGACAAATGGATGTTCACTGCATATCGAATCGTGGCTTCCTAATCTTATGACTTGCCAAAATGACTTCTGTGCTCTTTGGTCAAAGCATTCTGTGTTGTACTTTAGAATAAAGGGATCTGATTCATTCCTATGGGATGTGTGCTTGGTCACTGCAGTATATCTTTTAAATTGACTGCCCCAGTTGCCTGATTCTTTGAAAAAAGTATCTCCTAGATCACATTTATTGTATTTTAATTTTTGTTGCAGTTACATTCCACATTTTCTTCCTCAGGCGTTCTAGGCACCAGATATAGCACTCTTTCCTCAAAAGTATTGACGACATAGTAGTCCTATGAAATAGTTTGGGCTGAAAGAATATGACTTATTCAATGTAACTGTGACTATTAATTTCAGGTGTGTCCAACTCTGGGTGAAAACAGACCAAAAGCACCTGCCAGCATTCCTTCTGCTTCTCTCTTTAATGTAATGAGACAGGGGTGGTTCAAATTTCTTAACAACCGGTGCCATGGGTGTGGCCCAATTTGTGGGTGTGGCTTGGTGGCCATATGATTGGTGGGTGTGGCTTGCTGACTGGGTGTGGCTTGTATGTAAATATTGTAAATATTGATGTAAATATTGCATTTTTTATTTAAAAAAGAGCAACTTTTACCCAAAATCAGGCAAAGCAGGCAGGCAGATTGAGTTGCTTGCAGAATCACAAAGTCACTCACCTTTCTGCAATTTGCTGCCTGAGTCTGCACTGAAAAAATAGAAGCTTAGGTCCTAAGGAAGGTTCAACTCTGCTCTCAAGCGACTTCTCCCACCCCAACCCCCTGAATTGGGCCTCATGGAAGCCTCCTGGGCGAAGGCAAAGCAGTATAACAGCAATTTAGATTAGCTAGAATGTGAGAAATCAGATGATTTCCTGCTTTCTAGCTAATCTAAATCACGTGTCACAGCTGCTAGCCAGAACAGCTGATCGTTGGGGGAAAAAAGGAAAAATAGCAATTTACCAAAAATTAGGCGAAGGCACAACGCAGGCAAGTTGGATGGTGCGCATGCGAGATAAGGAGTGACTGAATGGGGAGGGGAGGGGATAGGCGGGAGGGGAGGGGCCAGCCAGTGGCACAATTTGCCTGTTCTCCAAACTGCACAGAATCATTAACAACTGGTTCTATAGAACCGGTCCAAACTGGTAGAATCCCACCCCTGAATGAGCATCTTCTTGACATCTTGTATGGGAAGCTATTTGGTGGGTACATATCCCCGTCTGTTTTGGACCAGTCTTACTGTACTTGTTTTCTTTCCCGCGGTTAAAGTGACCATAACCCATGTATTACTCTTGTGGAATTCTTCGATCACCTCTTCTGCAGCCTGTTTCCATTTCACTGCTTTATTCTGTCAATGTCTATCTATATGTGGGATCCCCTTTTCATCTTCTTGGCATAAACAGTTTCCTAGTGGTACTCATTTATTTGACTTCTAGAAGCAACTGTGCCATGGTGACACTGTTGCTCTTTCTGGTTGTACCCTGCAGTTCAGTTCGAGGCATGCAATGGAGATTACCTTCAGATCTTGGGGTCTCTGTTCAATCTTTGATTTAGGGAACAAATTCCCATGGTCATTCTCTTTTCCCCTTTAATCAAAATAAGCAATATTACAAGACACAACTGGAAAGAGATGGTTGATTGGTGCAATCTAGGATGCTGTATTGTATGAAATATTTTGAATTTTCAACTATCACTTTTCCCACACATCTTCATTACTTTTTTTGGTGCTTTATATCTCCACCCTGAGTGGCACAGGTGAAGCTGTCCATGTATTGACCAGTGTTTGGAAGCTGTTTAGGTCTGGGTGGAGCAGAAGAGACGTTGACTCGGTCTTCACAAGATTGAGTGGCTGTGGCTGTTTGGACCCTGTGGGTTGGGATGTTTCCCTTGGTGTTGAATGGGGCTACTCCTCCAAGCTGGTGTGCAACTTGGGGGTTCCTTCTGGACTCACAGCTGCTGCTTGGAAAACCAATGGCAGCTGTAGTCGGGAGGGCCTTTGCAGCGTTTCATCTTGTCACTAGACCTTTCCTTCTTCACTCATGCCCTGATCACATCACAACTGGATTACTGCAATGGGCTGTAGACTGGACTGCCTTGAAGACTACCTGGAAGCTACAGCTGGTTTAAACTTCAGTAGCCCAAGCAATCATGGACACCTCCTGGTGTGCCTATGTGTCATCACTGCTATACAAATTGAATTGCCTGCCAATGGGCTTTGAGTACAATTCAAAGTCTGATATTACCTATGAAGCCCTATATGGCAGAGGGGCTGGAGAGACTGTTTGTCTTCAATAATTTTCACTTGCTCAATACCTTCTGGCAGAGGGGGTGTGTGTGCTTCAAGTCCCCCTTATTAAATGTGGTCATCTTATGGGACTTAGGAAGTCTATCTTCTCTGCCACATCCCCTACCTGCTGAACCAGCATCCTTCCAGAGACAAGGAAAGCAACCTGGGGTTCCAAAAAGCTTTGAAAACCTATTCTGGTTCCAGGCCTGGGGTTGGTGTTTATGATCTGTTCAATGGATCCTGTTTTGTTTTGTGGATTTTGTTACTAGAGCATATTAGTCCATCTGTCTGTTGATGTAATATTTTTAGCTGTTATGTTTCTCTTAGTTTTCTGAGCTGTTTTCTTCTTCTGTTTTCTAAGTTGACTTGAGAATATATCTGAAATATAGTTTTGCAGGCCTTTATTTGCCTTTGAAAAAGCACTTGCAATCGACCTGCATTACAGGTAGTCCTCACTTAGCAACCTCAATTGGAACTGGCAACTCCCTTGCTAAGCAATGCAGTCATTAAACAAGATATTGTATAAATACAATGGATTTATGGGCCACTTTCCCTTCAGTGAGTAAACTATTAAGTGAGACATCATGTGACCAGGACTTCTCCATTGACTTTGCTTATTGGAAGCTGGTTGTGGTGTGACTGTCGGTTACTGCAATAGTTGTAAATATGAGTATCAGTCACAAAGTTACTTTTTCAACACTGCCATAACTTTAGATGGTTGCTAAGCAGGGCAATACTCAGGTGAGGACCTCCTTTATTGGGAATGAAATTTTTCCTTTCTTTTCTCCTATCCTTACAAGCACATTCTTAATTGAGAGCTATTGAGTTATGCCGATTAAATCCTTGCCTACTGTTTATTGTCAGATTAATCCTTGCTTCCTCTTCCTCTTTTATTCACCATAGACTGGCTATTTTAAACAACATATCTACAGTGGATATAGAAAAACTGGACACCTCTGTTAAAATGCCAGGTTTTTTGAGATGTAAAAAATCAGACCAATATCAAATCACCTCACATTTTTAATCATCTTTAATGTAAGTGGTACAATTCAATTGAAAAACAAACTGAAATCTTGCAGGGGGACAAATAAAAAAAAATAAAAAACCCAATAACACAGTTGCATAAGTGTCCACAGCCTCTTTTGAGTAGGGATGTAGCTGGTTTGGAATTGGCATGTTTTCTCTCCCTCATCTGACCTCATGTGACTTTTCTCCCTTACTGATATGTTTCAAAACTTCAAGAGAGAAGAGAAAGAAGAGAGAAGTGAAGTCTGTTTGCAAACTGTTTCTTGTATTTGAGAGGGTTTTCAAATTTCTTTGGCTTGATCCTAACCACTGTCGATGCAGAGATTTCAGGCCTCTGCCCACCAGGCTGACCACACCAGTTTCTATGCCATTTGCAGCATCCTGGACTCTTTGATCCTCTCTTGCTTTTAGATGTCTAATATGTCTCTCCACAAAGATGATTCCTTGAGACTTCAAAAAGAGCACACTGGCCTTGTACAGCTTCTCAGCAGCCAAAACTTTGTTGTTCATTTTTGCTTTCCTGAATTCTCCCTCAGGTGCTGAGCATATTTCACTCTTTCTCTCTCTCTTTTGAAATCTTGAAATTATGAAATATAGTTGCCTTGATCGGAACCTATGTTGTTGATGGGAAGACCTTTGTGGGTGCATATGAGCATCCCTGGGAGTGGGAATCTAACCTGAGCAATGATTAGTGAAATTATTAGAACCATTAAGAAAAATATGTATTTAAGGTAGTAAAGCTAGGAAAAGGCCAACACCCACCCAACACCCATCGATCAATAGAAGAATAAAAAAAAATCCAGAAATGCCTGGCTGTTCTGACCCAAACCTGGTTCCAAAGAAGCAAACACGACAAAGCTAACAGCACAACCTTTTAATGTTTCTTAACGAATCCCGTTCCTTCACGGGTAAAAGGCTGCTTCAAACCAATTAGCTCCAATAAGAAAGAGCCTTGCCAAGGTTTTGCAAGGCTGCCAAGAACACCAGATAAAGTTACTAAGCAATAACTCAAACGCAAAGAGTCTCCAAACACCAACTCAGATATTCCTAATGTCCACCAGGCTCAAGTGTAAAACTTCTTTGCCTTCTGCAAAGAACTGTGGTTTCTCGGCTGGCTTTTATCTCCTCAGGAAGGGGCCATTACCTTCCAGCCTTACTCCCGAGTTGCCTGTGCTGCTGCAGTTGCTCTTTCCTTCGAGCAGCCTGCGCTCACACACACTGGGCACAGGCTCCTCGGGGTCCTCTTCATCACTGCTGCCAGCCTCCACAAGCTCCAAAGGCAGCACTCCACTCCCTGATGGTCCTGGCCCCATCCCTGCCTCACAGGCAGGCCCCTCACCTGAGTCTTCGCTCTCCGAGCCCTCAGCCATCTACACCTGCTGCCGGCAAACCACAACACTGCCTAGGAACAAAGGGAGGAAACAGCCATGAAATTAGGAATCCCAAAATGGATGAATAGCTGCAGAAATGGATGAAGTTGGCTGAAATGGCAAAACGGACTACTTTGATTAAAGAAAACAACATTGTTTCCACTTGGAGACTGCTTCTGAACTTCGGTCTTGAAATGGAAAAGAATGAAACTTTGATTTTGGGTTTTATCAAGTAGATTGATGGATCTTTACAGAAATGGCTTGTTCAATTTATTATGAAAAAGCAAAAAGCTGTGATTTGATGTTAATGCACTATTTTACAGCAACAGAGAGATTCGGAAGTCAATGTTTATTTTTCTTTTCTTTTTCTTATCCTTCCTCATATCTCCTCCCCCGTTTTCTCCCTACTGCTTTAGTTTTGTATTTTGTATTTTACAATATTCTATAACTCAACACGTTAAATTGAAAACAAAAATGAATAAATAATAAAAAGAAATAGGAATCCCATAGACTGGAAAAATGATAGACAGCATAGCAGTTAAAGAGGCAGCACAGTAGTTAAGGATTTCCTTAATTCCCCTTGCACTCTTTATGGTCGGCAGATTGTTTGATACCAAGAGTCAGAATAACAGTATAACAGAGTTGGAAGGGACCTTGGAGGTCTTCTAGTCCAGCCCCTTGCTCAAGCAGGAGACCCAATACCATTTCAGACAAATGGCTGTCCAACTTCTTCTTATAAACCTCCAGTGATGGAGCAGCCACAACTTCTGAAGGCAAGCCATTCCACTGATTAATTGTTACCAGGAAATTTCGCCTTAGTTCTAGGTTGCTTCTCTCCTTGATAAGTTTCCATCCATGCCTTCTGGTACTTTGGAAAATAAGTTGACCCCCCTCTTCTTGTGGCAACGCCTCAAACATTGGAGGACTGCTATTATGATTTCTTCATTAGACTAGACATATCCAATTCCTGCAATCATTCTTTATATGTTTTTGCCTCCAGTTCCCTAATAATCTTTGTTGCTCTTCTCTTCACCATGTCTAGAGTCTTAACATTTTTTAAAAATAATGTGGAGATCAAAACTGATTACAGTATTCCAAGTGGGGTCTCATCAAAGTCTCATCAAGGTCTATAGTGGTACTGACACTTCACGTGATTTTGATTCTATCCCTCTGTTGATGCAGCCTAGGATTGCATTGAACTTTTTGGCTGCTGCCATATACTGCTGGCTCATATTTAAGTGATTGTTCACTAGGACTCCAATATCCCCCTCACAGTTACTGTTATTGAGCTAGTAGTCATTCCAATGAATCACACAATTGGGAATAGCTAATATATTACAAGAGCAAAGAGAGCAACTGTGTCAAGGAGTGTTGGAAGACCTACCTAAATGCTATGGGCGCTGCCCTGGTTGCCTTCTACAGCAGGGGTCCCCAACCACCGGTCCGCGGACCGATACCGGGCCGCGGAACAACTCCTACCGGGCCGCTGGCTTGCTGGGTGCCGCCATCTTTTTTTGATGAAAACGTGCTTCCGGTGAGGTCACTAGAAGCACTTTTTCGTCAAAAAAAGATGGCGGTGCCCAGCTGATGCCGGTACCGGGCCGTGGCGCCCAGCTGATGCCGGTACCGGGCCGCGGCGTCAAAAAGGTTGGGGATCACTGTTCTACAGAACCTATTTGCCATACTGAGAAGTTGATTTTCTCTTACTCCAGACTGGAAGCGCAACTATGAAAATATACATCCCAGGTTATTTTCTGTGCTAATATGCAGATGACGAGCGTTCTGCAATGCAGCAGTCATGGGGGCTGAACATCTCCTTTCTCTCAGTAGCAAACCCAAACTTATGTTCCTTCAAGTTCCATCTATTCTACCCTCCATTAAAATAGTAATATATTGCCTTTCTGCCCAGTGAACCAAGTGATAGGATTGTAGTTAGTAGCAATTTTAGCATGTTTGGTCATCTAGAAATACATAACTAGATTGCAACATGAAAATGCTGCATAAGTTTGTAGAATTGATGTATTTGAGTTCACTGAACTGTTAACTTCATTGCAGGAGTGATGGCGGAAATAATTTCCAGCAACTTTTACATTTGCTTGCTGAACCTTTACAAATTAAGCATATTGTATCCACCACCCCATCTATCTACTTTAATGCTCAATTGAATGGTGGTAGTTTGAGTCACAGCAAATTATCAACTTCATTAATTCAAATACTGGTAATATGTTACCAGGATTATATTACCAGTCTTGTAGCTAAGGTACAAATTACTGCTTTTCTCTATTAGAATAAAAATATACTTGATCTACCAATAATTTCTTAGCTTCATCTGTGTAATTTCTGAAAATGAAGATGGAGAATGTGTGACCACTGTTACAAGGCTGGGGTAGCAAATCTGATTATGAAATCCCAGATTCTGGATGGTCCTTGTGTAAATTTGCTTTTTCAAAGATATTAAATCAAAGGTGGGATTCAGCAGGTTCTGACCGGTTCTGGAGAACCAGTAGTGGAAATTTTGAGTCATTCGGAGAACCAGCAAATGCCACCTCTGACTGGCCCCACCCCCATCTATTCTCTGCCTCCCGTTGAGTCCCAGCTGATTGGCTGGGTCTTCTTTGGTTGCCCTGCACAGGAGAACAGAGCTGGAAAGCAGGTTAGTGGGGTGGGGAGGGAAGGGGGATTTTGCAATATCCTTCCCTCAGGAGTGGGCAGAGAATGGGGAGTTTACAGTATCCTTTCCCTGCCATGCCCACCAAGCCACACCCACCAAGCCACACCACGCCCACCAAGCCATGCCCACAGAACCAGTAGTAAAAAAATCTGAATCCCACCACTGTATTGAATATGCACTAAAATGTCAGTTGTACTCATGGGAGACCAGCAGCATGGACAAATAACAAAACCTCTGTTGCAAGTTGCTCCCTGTTGTTGTCACACAAAAGGCTGATGAATCACCAGTAACACCCTCCTGAAGAGGGCATTATAGGTCAAGGTCATGAAGAGCAAATTCACTACATTTAAGTCACTCTAGAATTCAAAGATCTTAGACCCGGACAGCTTGTAATTGTATTACCTACATTTGATCATCTGCCTCCTTCTGATCAATCTGGAATAATGTGTCAGTGTTCCAGAAAACCTCCACTCCAACAAATAACTCTGAGACAGACATCTTCTCAAAAGTTTTCTGTTTTATTTGGATAGTAAACTGACACATATGGGGAACCCTGAATCTAAAAGTTCCGGGCTTCCTTGCAATATTTAAAAAACTCCAAATCCATCCCCTGCACCCATCATCGCATCACATGCCCCAATCACCATCCGTCCCAACTTGAGATGTCCCCTCACCCAGGTGCAGAGATAACATGACCTTGACTTAGAAGAAGAATGCTATTATGTCTAACCACATCCACTCCAAGAAATTCCCCCCCTCCCATTTTCCCAGGCTCAAGAATGTGGCAGTGTGGAAGCATCTGGTGTCAATATGGCTTCCAAAGCTGACAGTGAGATGGAAGGTCCTGCTACTAGTCCTGTGTCCCCTGCATGACAGGCAGCAAACGGGAGCTATTTGGCTCCAGAATAAAAGGCAGTGGCAGAGCAGCAGGGAGGAGAGAGAGAGCCAGCAGCAGCACAGGGCACTATGTGAGCTAGAGCCTGAGAGCGCTGCAGAGAGCAACCAGGAAAGCAACGGCGGAGCTGAGTGGCGTGCTGAGCAGAGCAGACCATACAGTGGAGTTGAGCTGGCCGGAAGACTGCATGGCAGGCCGAGTGAGCTCACCAGAGCAAGGACGAGGCTGGAAAGACTGGAGCGCCAAGGACAGAAGGAAGCTGGCAGAGAAAACAACAAAAGGCCAGAGCAGCAAAGAAGGAAGTGAAGGTAACAAATTAAGCCTGAAGTTTCAATAGGCAGGGAGGGAAGACCCCGTAGAGAATAAAAATAAATACAGAACAGAAAATAAAAGATAAATAAATAGACAAACAATAAGGTCAAGAGTCAGCTAGAATAAGGTCAAGGTCAACTAGAAATCAAGGAATAGGATTGATGAAGATCAATCAGATAAATAAGGCAAATCTTAAATAATAAGATTAGTGGGGAACTGGAGCTCAAAAACTTTTTAAAACTATAGGGAAGAAATTGATAGCTAAAACTAACACAATAACAAGCAATAAATAACTAGGTATAAAAACAAGCACAAAAAGGCAGAAAAAAGGATAGAAAAAAAGATACAAAACTTTTTACCCTTAAAGGAACAGGCAAAAAGAATCAATCTCATGGAACAGTTGATTGTACTATTGTGGTATACAGTATATATTCAGTATATGTGCTTATGCCAAAGAACACCCAAATTACACCTGTATTAAATGTAAGTTATGGGAACTACTAGAGGAAAAAGTAGGGGATCTAGAGGCAACTTTAGTCAAACTCCAACCTATGCAAGAAAGCTATGCCCAAATTGGACCAAATAATTAACAAATAATTCCCAGAGAATTTGACCCCGCTGATAAATCCTTGGAGAAGACAAATGGAGGTATATCACACATAGAAGAAAACATAATAATCAAAGGACCATCACACATTTAACAAACCCTGCTGACCAGTCTAACCCAATAGAAGCAGCCCCATTAAAATGAGCAACCAATTTCTTCCCCTAGTTGAAAAAACTCAGACCCACAACCTCCCCCTTAAAGAAAACATGCAAACACTTAGAAAACAGACAATATTCCTAAAAAGCCACATCAACAAACTCATTTGGGATAAACAGAAAAGCACCCAGGCTGCACCCCCTAAAAAAGGAAGGCGAGTGTTGGTGATAGGAGATTCTATTCTCAAAGGAACAGAACCAGCCATCTGCAGACCAGCCATGCAATCTAGGGAGGTATGTTTATTTATTTATTTATTTATTTGATTTGTCAATTGTGTACAAGATAATAAGTATAAGTGTATACATAGTTATGAATACATGAAATGGGTACATATAAGAAAAATAAAAGAAAAATAAAAGAAACAATAGGAGAGGGACGGTAGGCACGTTGGTGCGCTTATGCACGCCCCCTACAGGCCTCTTAGGAAAGGGGTGAGGTCAATAGTAGACAGTCTAAGGTTAAAGTTTTTGGGGTTTGGGGAAGAATGTTGTCTCCCTGGAGCTAAAATCTAGGATGTGGCTGAGAAGCTAACAAAAATAATTAGGGGCACAGACTACTACACTTTTCTACTACTACACATAGGGACAAATGACACAAAAAAGGACTGGAAAACAATATTGAGTGATTATGAGCAGAAAGTCAAGGACTTAGGTGCACAAGTAGTTTTTTTCATCTGTACTGCCAACAAAAGAACAACATCCGATAAGAGAACAAAGAATTCTAGAAGTGAACCACTGGCTAAAGAATTGGTGTCCCCAAAAAACCTTTGGATTCCTGGACCATGGTCTGTACTATGATAGGCTTCTGGCAAGGGATGGGCTGCACCTCACAAAGTCTGTGAAGAATGTTTTCAGAGAACGACTGGCTCAACTTATCAGAAGGGCTTTAAACAAAAATTGAGGGGGGAGGGTGACCAATCTTTAGGATCTCCAGGACCTAATTCTAAGCAAAAACCCCTAGAAAGCAAGTCAAATAATGAAGTAAGGAGGGATGGGAAGGAACACAAACTCAAACACCGAATAGGACACATAGGAAGCATACCCAGAGTCAGACATAAAGATCTCAAGTGCCCATATACAAATGCACAAAGTCTGGGGAACAAACAGGGTGAACTTGAACTATTAATACATGGAGGTAGATGTGATATAGTTGGAATAACAGAAACTTGGTGGGATGAAACCCATGACTGGAACATACTGAGAGAAGGATACAAACTGTTAAAAAAAACAGACCCCATAAAAGAGGAGGTGGAGTTGCACTGTATGTAAGGGACCACTATATTGCTACAGAAATGCATGAAACCAAAGACAAAAACCGCCTAGAATGCATATCGGTCAATGTAAAAGAAAAAAAAAGAATGACATGGCCATAGGTGTATATAATAGGCTACCCAATCAAGCAGAAAAAATAGGTGTCCTTTTTGCTAACCAACTAACAAATATATGTAGGAAACATACTACAGTGGTAATGGGGGACTTCAATTATCCTGACATCAATTGGAAGACTAATTCTGCAAGTGAGAAATCAAATAGGTTCCTAACCAACGTAGCTGATAACTTCTTTGTCCAAAAGGTAGAGGACAGAATTAGAGGGTCAGCCATACTTGATTTAATTCTTACAAACAGAGAAGAAGTGATAGGGGGAGTTGAAACTGCAGGAAACTTGGGTGAAAGTGACCGTGTCATACTAGAATTCAACACAACACAAACACAAGCAATAGAACATATGATACCAGAGTCCTAGACTTTAAAAAAGTTGATTTTAACAAGCTGAGAGAGAACTTGGGAAAGATTACTTGGATGAAAATCCTAAAGAGGAAAAAAGCTCAAGAAGCATGGGAAACTCTGAAAACATATGATCATACCACTGAAAAAGAAAAACAAGAAATTCAAGAAGAAACCAGCATGGCTCCACAAAGATCTCTCTATCAAATTGAAAGACAAAAAGGACAAATACAAAAAATGGAAAGAAGGACACATAACTAAGGCAGAATATCAGCAGATAGCCATCTGCAAAGATGAAGTCAGGAAACACTCAGAATCAACAGACTTGCAACAAAAGTCAAAGATAATTAAAAAAAAAGTTTCTTTCAACATTTAAATAAGAAAAAAAAAGAAATAGCAGGTCCACTAAAGAGAGAAGACTGCAAGGAAGTAACAGAGAAAAAATAGAGCTGCTTAACTCATTCTTTGCATCGTTCTTCAGGCAAAAAGAAACAATAGTCCAACCTACCAAAAACATAACTGTAAAAGACATACTAGAAATAAAAGTTAAAATAAGCAAAAAAAAAAAAAAAATAGTAAGAGAACACCTCACTGATTTTGAAGAACACAAATCACTGGGGCCTGAAGGATTACATGCCAGAGTTCCAAAGGAGCTGGCAGATGTCATCTCAGAACCACTGCACTACATCTTTAAAAATCCTTGAGCACCAGAGGACTGGAAAAGAGATGATGTGGTTCCCATCTTCAAAAAAAAAAGGAGCGGGGGGGAGAAACAGACCCAGGAAACTACAGGCCAATCAACCTAACGGGAAGATACTGGAAAAGATAATAAAAATACAGATCTGCCAATATCTAGAAATGAGTAAAGTAATAACTAGAAGTCAGCATGGGTTTGTTAAGAGTAGATCATGCCAAACCAAACTTATTTCATTCTTCAACATAGTGACTAAATTAGTAGACCAGCAAAATACTGTGGACATAATATATTTAGACTTCAGCAAGGCACTTGACAAAGTAGACCACAACCTACTTCTTGGTAAGCTAGAAAAAAGTGGGATAGATAGAATCACCATCAGATGGATTTGTAACTGGCTGATAAACCATACTCAATGAGTAGTCCTTAATGGTACTACATCTACATGGAAGTAAGTAAGCAGTGGGGTACCACAAGGTTCTGTCCTAGATCTAGTACTCTTCAATATCTTCATAAATCACTTAGATGAGGGAATAGAAGGAGAACTTACTAAATTTGTGGATGATACTAAACTGGCAGGAATAGCCAACACGCCTAGATGATAGGCTCAAGATCCATATGGATCTTCACAGACTTGAACACTGGGCTGTATTTAACAAAATGAAATTCAAGGGAGAGAAAAGTAAAGTCTTACACTTATGCAAGAAAAACCAAAACTACACATATAGACTGGGTGAAACCAGGCTTAATAGCAGTAATTGTGAGAGGGATATTGGAGTCTTAGTGGACAGCCAATTAAATATGAGTCAACGGTGTGCATTGGCAGCCAAAAAAGCCAATGCAACCCTAAATTGCATTAACAGAGAGGGATGCAATCAAGATCAAGGGAGGTGCTAATACCACTCTATAAAGCCTTAGTAAGACCACACCTAGAGTACTGCATCCAATTTTGGTTACCACACTATAAAAAAGATGTTGAGACTCTAGAAAAAGTACAGAGAAGAGCAACCAGGATGATTAGGGGACTGGAGATTAAAACATATGAAAAATGGTTACAGGAACTGGGCTTGGCTAGTCTAGTGAAGAAAAGGACCAGGGGAGACATGATAGCAGTCTTCCAATATTTGAGGGGCTGCCACAGAGAGGAAGGGGTCAATCTATTTCTTAAAGCACTTGTAGGCCAGACAAGGAATAATAGATGGAAACTGAACAAAGAGAGATTTAACCTGGAAATAAGGAGAAACTTTCTGACAGTGAGAACAATCAACCTATGGAACAGAAGTTGCCCTCGGAAGTTGTGGGAGTGCCATCACTTGAGACTTTCAAGAAGAAATTGGACTCCCATCTGTCAGAAATGGTGTAGGGTGGGGGCTTGGGCTTGGGCAGGGGGTTGGTCTAGATGTCAAGGTCTCTTCCAACTCTGATTATCTGTTAGGTGGATTTGCAGTTGGCTGAACACCCATCAACAATGTGTGGTCCTGACTGTGCTCACGTGGTGGGAGGTACGCAGTAGATTATTTCAGGGTTCTTCAGGCCAGCACTCTTCAACATCTACATGGATGAGTCAGATGAGGGAACAGAAGAAATGCCCATCACATTTGCATCACAAAGTTGATGATGGGGATTGCTAAAAGCAATAGCACTTAGATTTATATACCACTTTATAGTGCTTTACAGCCCTCTTAAAGCAGTTTACAGAGTCAGCATATTGCCCCCCAAAATTTGGGTCCTCATTATACCCACCTCGGAGGGATGGAAGGCTGAGTCAACCTTGAGCCTGGCTGGATTTGAATTGCCAAATTGCAGTAGGAGTAGCTTGTAGTACTTCACTCTAACACTGCGCCACCGAGGCTCCATAATAATAGCTCAAAACAGGTCAAGCTTCAAAAGGATCTTATAAATTGGGCCAAAAAATGCTATTCAAGGATGCAAATGTAAGATTCAGCACCCAGGTAGGAAAAACCAGATGCAGATTTAAGATAACCCAGTTTGGTGTAGTCATTAAGATGCTTGTCTATAAGACCAAGAGACAGTGTATCCTCTGGTCTAAAGGGATAGGAAATGTTGAATCACTTGAGCCACCCTGACTTAAAGAACTGCTAGATCATGAAATCATGATACAGCTTATTTTTAAACAATGATTCCTGCTATATCGGTCCTCAGAGTAGCTGCCTGGTTTGAATTCAAGATGACCAAGAGGGCAGAGCCTGATGATTAGCTCATCAATACTTGAGTTTTTCTTATTTACACATCATTGTTTTTTTCATCTAGTTAGGGAGCTAATTTATATTATGTGTGCTCATTTGTCAACTATTATTTCACTAATGATGAAGAAATCCAAATACATTCTCTATTTTAGAACTCTCAAAAGATCCTGATTAATCCATCCTACAGTTTTTTCTGCTCTTTCAGTTGATATTATCCTAAAAAAAAACCTAATTAGTCAAATGAGAATCCAAAATACAGGGCACAGCAGCATCTTCATATGGTTCCTAATGAAGTTGGCTTGGAAATTGTCTCTTTCTGTTAGAAGTAATCATAGAAGAAGGAAGGTCATTAAAGGATCTGAGCTGGAAGCGGATTTCTATTTTTAAACACATCCATTAAAATAGAGCTCCCCTGTAGATGGAAACACAGGGCAGAACTCAAAGGAAAGAAAAAAAGAAATCAGAAAGGAAAGGAGAAATTAGTCAGGAAGGTTTTGTTCTGATTAATCTGACTGATTTAGACTGCACATAAAATACAACTCCTGCCTCCTAGGTGTCCACATAGACCATAGACTTCAGCCTCTTCTAAGACCAAGCTAGTCGTAAGTTTGTTCTCCTTGATTAAAGAATAATTAATATAATTGATGAATTTATGCTATGTGCCATTGAGACATTTCAGTTACTGCTGACTATATGGATAATTCATCTTCTTGTCCAGTCTTTAGTAATAATTTCTTTCAAGGACATTCCAGTAGTTTAGTTCAGTGTTTTTCAACTTTGGCAACTTTAAGATGCATGCACTTCAACGCCCAGAATTTCTAACCAGTTGCCCTAGTCTGCCCCAGACTAGGAAAGTAAAACCCTTAACTCCATTTGATTGAAAAGGCACTTTTACATGCTGATTGCAGCAAAGTCAAGTGGAATCTGAAGTTCCTGCACATCAGTACACAGTGAGCTAACCCCTTGATAGCCCCAGCTCTCCCCACATAGTCCATCCATGTGTGCCTAATGTGGCACCACCAAGTTGTTTTGGGAAGCACTGAGGTGTTTAGGTGGTGAAATTCCATTCTCAGTGTACACCTTGAAGATGCCAGCACGGACTGGATTCCATAATTCCTCAATTCCCATTATGTCCCATTATTGATGTCTCATAAAGGTATACAGCTGCATTGCTCATTTGTTTCCCTCTTCTTTCCCCAGTTGATGGTAGAATGCCAGCGAGGCCTCAAACTGAAGGTGATGGATCTGACACACACATCTTAAAGTTGCCAACTTTGAGAAATACTGCTCTAGTTGATCCTATCCATCCACCTTGTCATTATGTACTCCTATTTTTGTCCATTTTGTCAAGTATAATAGTTTCATACATTTCAGTCCATCATCTGTTCACATCCTACACCCAAAGTATGTTTCAGTGTGCAATTAATCAATCTCAAGGGAACAGCCTTTATTTGGTTCAAGACTTAGTAATAACCTTGTCAACCTTCAAATCTGTAGGTGTCTGCCCTCTTTCTGACATTTTTTCTGTCCAGCTTTCATA